AAAAAAAAAAAAAAAAAAAAAGGATCACTAAGCTGAGCTCTCCTAGAACAACTAGAGAAAAAGAGAGAACCCAGCTATACATGATGTGGGGACCTAACCCAGAGTTGTAGCTCAGGGAGCACAGTGAGGAGATGGTGAGCTGGATACAGCCTATGATCTGGAGAGATGAAACTGTGATGGCTTAAGCAAGTAATTGCCATGAGCTAGAATTGGCTGGCTCTCCATGGAGGTCCAGGATGGGAGGAAGCCTTTCTGGAGATTTCAGTTGTTGGGGGAAGTTGTACATTGAGTGGAAAGCTTGGAAGAGTGGGTGGACTTGAACAATATACAGCAACCAGATTTGAATGCCATTGGAGTGGATTTGCCATAGATTTGGGAGCTGGCAAGGTAGTCATACTAAGAAGGTCTTAGCAGCCAGGGGACTGCCATTGTGGGAAGGTTGTGAGAAGGTCTTAGCTGGGGCCTAAAGCGTGGCCTATCTTAATTCCACCTGCCAGGATCAGAACTCCATTCTTGGGACAGGCTGAGGGTCTCCCCTACCCCATGGGAACTGGAGTCAGGGACCACTGTGAGACCTGCCCCTGAATGATCCTTGTGAGTTTTAAGATTCCCAACCCAATGGGATCTGAGTCCAGAGGAAATAATCAGGCAATCACCAAAGGCAATTAAATTAGAAATAAGGACCATAGAGGTTGCTGGCTGTGCTGTCCGTCTCCTAGCACTACGGGACAGCACCTGTGACTCAGTGGGTAGGGCTCCAGCCCCATATACCGAGGGTGGCAGGTTCAAACCCGTCCCTGGCTAAACTACGACAACAACAAAAATAGCCAGGCATTATGGTGGGTGCCTGTAGTCCGAGCTACTCTGCAGGCTGAGGCAAGAGAATTGCCTAAGCCCAGGAGTTGGAGGTTGCTGTGAGTTATGACGCCACAGCACTCTACTGAGGGATATAAAGTGAGACTCTTATCTCTTAAAAAAAAAAAAAGAAAGAAACCACAGTGCCACTTGGTGTCCTGATGATATATTACAGCACATTATCATCAAGAGCAAGGACTTGTTTTTTTGGCCACAAGGATGACTTTGGCTTTACTCAGGCTGAGGCCACATCAAGACCTAATCTCTGAGAAAAGTAATTTGAAGCAAAGGAGGCATTGAGAAGAAAAAAGGAGAAGGAGGTGAACAAGAAGAAAGAACACATGAGGAGGAACCAACAGATAAACTTGGGCAACATGAAAAACCAAAACAGAGCAACTCCTCCAAGGGACCATAGGCAGCTATTGCAGAAGATTCCACCTATAAAGAATTAATGGATTTGCCAGAAAGAGAATTTAAAATATGGATGATAGAGACAATAAAATGAATGGATTCAAAATGGAAAGACAGAACCAAAAGTTGGATGAGAATGTAGGATATAGAAAGGATATGGCAGAGTTAAGGAAATGAAGGAGATAGTCAGGGAATGTAAAGATGCAGTAGAAAGTATCAAAAATAGGTTAAATCATGGAGAAGAAAGAACCTCAGAGCTAGACTATAAAGTTTTTGAGTTAACCCAGGTAGTTAAAGAGGCAGAAAAGAAGAGAGAGAAAGCAGGACAGGCACGTAGAAAACTATGAGACTCCATGAAGTGTTAAAACATATGAATGATAGGGATTCCTGAAGGAGAAGAAGATTGTCCCAAAGAAATAGAAGCCCTACTGGAGACTGTCATAAATTAAAACTTCCCAGTTTTACTAAAGACCCTGACATAGTCCTTTCAGGTGGATATCAAATCCCAGGTCATCTCAACTCAGACAATCTCTCTCCAAGACACATAGTAATGAACCTGTCCAAAGTTAAGATGAAAGAAAAAATTCTGCAAGCAGCCAGGAGTAAGCACCAACTGACCTAAAGAGGCAGAGTCATTAGGATGACAGCA